CATGTCTGATACCTTTAACATAGGCAATAAAGAATATAATGCGTGATGTAAAAGTCTTTTAGTAGCAATCTAAAAGCTCCAACTTTTGAATACAAATGAAACTAGCAAGAGAAACGGAAAGACAGTATTTTTTTGACAAGTAATATAGCGACTAGCGATTTTCTAAATTTGTGAGCTACTCAATGAAGAGATCAAAATTAGATGCTTTATTGCATCGGCCAAACAGCAAAACCTGGCTGTATCCGCTACATCTTTACATACATATGACTAATGCCTTGTCAACAAATTACTCCTGATCGGATATATCTTAAAAACTTGAAGAAAGTCAGTTTTCGATCGATCATCTGACTTTGACTAAGCGTTTTGGCTTAACTTATGGAAAAATTTGTTCATAGGCAGAAGACAGAATCAGGCTATTAATATCATAAGTATTTCTCAATTTGTTGCGCAAATAGCCATTTTTAGCCAAATTTTCTTTTCATTATAAAAAAGATACTGCCGTTTGTACCGTAGATTAGGAAAACGAAGTTCTCAGTTACTAGTGAAGAAAGCAATCAAGGAATTGGTTGAATCAATCCAGTTATTCTGGTTACAAGGAAGATTTGCATAAAAGAGAGAAGAGTCAGGCTTGACATATGCACCACCTCATATTCCAGGCTGAACCCCTCGATTGTTTAGATGAGTCAATGCTTATCGGTTAGATCAGCCACGACCATTGCGATACGTTTGAATGGATCGTCAGCGAGCCGCCAACCAACCACAAGTTGCACAAATGAAAAGCGGTCTAGCGGGCAGAAATAGCTAATGGACTGACTGCTGCCCCACTGTGTGGTTGAGGCGAAGAAGAAGAAGGAGAAGAACAGGACAGCACTGACTGAAACTGGCGAACGCATCCATATCCATGCTAAGCGATAGCGCGTCAGCCCAGTCCATCTCGGCGAAACTGTCCACCTGAAGAAGTTCGTGAATAAGCTTTTAGCATTTATGGCAAAGAGTTTTGATCAACTTTGAAAGAGCTATGATAATAACTTCACCTGAACATTACCCCTGGCGTTGTCATTAGGTCAACTTATCAACTTATAAGCCCTTAAATAGCCTTAAAGGCTTGTACGAAGATAATCACCTTCAAATGCAAATAAATTTCTCTTAGAAAAATTCTTCTTGAATTTTTACTTAAATATCTGAACCTTTGTCAGCTGGGATAGAGGAGAC